GAAGAAGTTGGTAGAAGTTTTCAGTTTCATCATCACTGACTTTAGTGGTTTGTGTATAAATATGAATAATACCTGTATTAACTGGTCTTCATTGTAAGTATATGGATACTATCCTATCCCAGACAGCATTATAATTCAGGATAGATCTTGAAATGTTCTTTTTGATGATGAATGTGATGCCATTCCTCTTCAGTTTGTCATTCCCAGCATAGTAAATCATGTGATTGTCAGATTCAAAATGTTCAATAATAGTACATTTCAGTTCACTAATGCCTTATACATTCCATTTCATTTTTGACAACTTCCACTTTTCCTAGACTCATACTTTATACATTTCACGTTACGTTTATTAATGGATGTTTGCAGCTTTTTCTCATTGTTTTGACTTGTGCCCCATTAGCAAATGAAGATCCTGAAACCTTTTCTCCATTCACGTTACATGAATAATTTCTTTTATAAAAATCAACACAAGGCCGGTCCCTGTGCATTGGAAGTTAAAGCTATTTCAAATGTTCAACTTTTCCTATGGTATATCCCTCGATAGTCCTCGATATCCACCACCATTTTTCCCTTCCTTCACTTCCTAAGGTTCTGCAACATGTTGTAGCATCTCACAAAACTCACAGTTGTCAAAAGAAATGGCTTATGCAATTGTGGAGGCTGGCAAATCCCACATCTGTAGTTCTGGAGTTGTGGAACCCAAATCTGCAGGTCAGACTACAGGCTGTTGATGTGTGAGGCTGTGGTCATGCAATGGACCAAAAGTCTCAGGACTGGAGGTCAGACACAGTGAGCCAGATGCAAGGACCAGGGCAAGAGAGCAAGCTTTTCCAAAGTAGCTATAGGAATTGCAGTCAGACCTCGCCCCCAAGGGAAACTAAGGATGGTGACTTGAGTCACATCCTCTCCTAAGCGGCATCCTCAATACTTAATTCCATTGCAATCTTGTTGTTGTTGTCAGGTGCCATCGAGTCGGAACCGACTCATAGCGACCCCATGCACAGCAGAACGAAACAATGTCCGATCCTGGGCCAACCTCACCACCGCTGCCACACTTGAGTCCATCAGTGATGCCACCTGGCCAATCCATCTCGTTGGGGGTCTTCCTCTTTTTCTCTGACCCTCCACCTTACCCAGCATGACATCCTTCTCCAGCGACTGTTCCCTCTGGACAATATGTCCAAAGTATGAGAGACTAAGCTTAGCCATCTTGGCCTCCAAGGAGCACTCTGGCCTGGCTGCATTTCTTCCAAAACAGATCTATTGGTTCTTTTGGCAGTCCATGGCACTTTTAGTATTCTCCTCCAACACCACAACTCAAAGGCATCAATTCTTCTATGATCTTCCTTATTCACCGTCCAGCTTTCGCATCCATATGAGGTTATTGAAAATACCATGGCTTGGGTCAGGCACACCTTAGTCCTCAAGCTGACATCTCTGCTCTTCAACACTTTAAAAAGTTCCTGTGCAGCAGATTTGCCCAATGTAATGCGTCGTCCGATCTCTTGACTGCTGCTTCCGCGAGTATTGATAGTTGATCTAAGAAGAATGAAGTCCTTGACAACTTCAGTCTTTTTTCCATTAATAAGAATGTTGTTTATTGGTCCAGTGGTGAGGATTTTTGTTTTCTTGACTTTGAGATGCAATCCATGCTGAAGGCTGTGTTCTTTGATCTTCAGCAGTAAATGTTTCAAGTCCTCTTCGCTTTCAGCAAGCAAGGTTGTGTCATCAGCATATCACAGGTTGTTAATGAGTCTCCAATCCTGACGCCACGTTTTTCTTCATAGAACCCAGCGTCTCATATTATTTGTTCAGCATACAGGTTGTAATCTTAGCCCACTTTAATCTATACTCCTTAGCAACTCATTTCAAAATGGGTGCATAATTACAGGCCTAGAAACTAGAGTTTACACTATATCACAGAATGGGGCAATTTGGCTGTACGGGCCACAGTAAGTAAGTAACTGCTCTGCACACACCGTTATGGTCAACTCTACTTTGAGGAGGCAGCTCTTCCCCAGTGGTATTTTTGGGATTGTCTTCTGGGACTATGAATGACAATATTTTGGTGTTGGTCATAAAGTCTTAATTTTATATTACTATATTTAATATATCTAATAACATTCTGCTGCAGTTCATAAGATTTTTCAGTTGCTAACCTTTCAGAAGTGGCCCATGTCTCCTTAGTTTGTCTTTGTCTGGAAGCTCAGGTGAAATCTGTCCACCATGGGTGATCCTGCTGGTTATAATACTAGTGACTAAGCTTGCATCATCACAGCAACGTGCAGAATTCTGCAGTATGACAAACTGACAGACCAGTGTGGATAATTAATACTGTTGCTCTTAAGTGCTGTTGAATCGGTTCCAACTCATAGCAACCCTATTGTTATAGGGTTTCCTAGGAGCAGCTGGTTTGGATCGTCGATCTTGTAGTTTCAAACTTACTTTGCGGTCCAGTGCTTTAGCCTACAACACTAACCCCAGGACTCCATAATTAATAGTGTTGTTGTTGTCTGGCACATTCACCCGCAGCGCCACACCAGGACTAGTTAGTAAGTGCTCCAAAATCACTTACTGAATCAAATTAATTTCCCTCTAATTCTAGACTAATAGGTCTTAAAATGTGGTTGCCTGGACCATCATCAACATCACCATGTAACTTTTTAGAAATGTAGATTCTCAGTTATCTTACTACATAACTTGGAAGTCAGAGAACAAAACTTCTTTCAGCAGCACCTGATTTTGTTAAGCTCAGGAACTGTTCTCTGTGGAAGAAACACCTTTTTTATGCAATATGAAAAACCAGGCTGTGGTACAGAGCATTTCAACAGAGAAAATGATGTGGGGCAAGCTTTTGTACAGCCTCGGAAACCGTGTGCAGAGTCACTAGGAGTCGGAACCGAATCCATGGTCCTTACAACAACAATACTGACCTCTGAAATCCTAAATGTATTCCAGGACATTAAGGTGGTTTCTGTTTGTAGTCACGAATAAGGAGTCAGCTATTGTATTACATTTGACTTAAGAAAGGCAGAAAGTATGAAATACTTAGATTTCTAAGTTTATAAATTATAAAACATGTTTGTTTGTTTTTTTTTATTGAAAGCTAAAAGTTATTGAGGAAAGCATTCATTGGGCATTTTCATAAAAAGATTGCAAGGATTTTTTAAGCCAGTTATGTATATAACCATCTTTTTGTGATTATTGAATGATAAGGAGCTTAAATCCATTGATTTATACTTGTTTCCGCTGCTGGTGGTGGTGGTGGTGGTGGGTATGTGCCGTGGAGTTGGTTCTGACTCATAGCGATCCTGCACAGGGTGTCTGAGGCTGTAAATCTTTACGGGAACAAAGCCTCATCTTTCTCCTGTGAAACAGCTGGTAGTTTCAAACTGCTAACCTTAAGGTTCGCAGCCCGATTTGTAACCACTATGCTAAATAAGCTCAATTATGGGAAAACAAAATAAAACATAAACTATTGACACTTTTTTGAATTTTAGTTCTTACAATTCATAACTTAGAGTTGCCATTGGATTCCAGGTTTTAAATTAACATGGTAATCCAACCAAAAAATGAAGAAAGACTTCTTTATCCTTCATCATTAGGAAATGAAGATTTTAGTGGAAAACACCTCTCTTGCAGCACATCAGTGCTCTGATGGTAGGTCTTAGAGTTGGAAGTCTGTGGGAAAGGTGTAGCCAAAACCCTGGAGAAAGAGTTTAAGTCCACAAGGTTATTGTCTCCTGGAGGACTATGAATTGTGTCTGTGTTGGGTGTGTGTAGCTGGGTTATGGTGACTCTTGTCTCCTTGTCTTTCTGCTTTCTTTCTTGGACATGCTATTCTTAGTGGTCTTCAGGTATTTCAGTGCCCAGAAAGTAAATTATTAAAACTATGATTGACAAGTATGTATCTACTTTACCTACTATTAGAATTACCAGTTTTAATGGGCTATTTGTTAATGAATAATTTAGTTTCCTCCAGGAGATGTAAGTTAATGAAACCACTGTTAATAGCTTTAAGTACTAAGTGCTGGTAAAATTTGTTTCTTAAGCTAAATAGAAATGACTTTTCAGCTATTATCAATGTGAGAAATACTGTTTTAAGAGGATGCTGTATCTCTTTAGAGATGTTTGTATCTCATTGTGGTTCTCAGCATAGGAAAACTGCTCCTCCAATGTCTGTAACTTCTGTAGAAAGATTAAAGTGTATGTTAGTGGGAAAGGTTTTCACTGTAGGAACTTGTTTATTACCTGGAATTGATCCTTCTCCAGTCATGGTCCTCACATTGGGATTTATGTACCACAGAAGCGTTGCAAAATGCTTTCTGTGGTGTTAGATGGAAACATCATCCTGTCTTTCTTGTAATCTCATGAAAATTTCTGCTTTTAAAATACTTTTTATAAATACATTTGCATGATAGTTCATTATATAATTTATAAACAAATCAGAATGATCATATTAGGGTATTCAAAAACTTTTAGTAATAGGAGTGTAAAACCTGAAAATGAAGTTTATGCAATAATTATGTGTTTTATTTGAAGATTTTGGTAAGCACAGAAGTATTTCACTTCTATAGTTTGCTACTCAGTTTATCTGCATTTCAATAAGACAAAATGAGCTTATTAATATTTTTTATATCTTTCAGTAACTTCTCATTTTTGTTCCAGTAATGTTAGTCAGTGTGAAAGAGCGCTGGTGGCGCAGCTATTAAGAGATTGTCTGCTAACCAAAAGGTCAGCAGTTCGAACCTACCAGCTGCTCCGTGGGAGATGGATGTGGCAGTCTGTTTCCATAAAGATTTACAGCCTTGGAAACTCTACGGACAGTTCTACTCTGTCTTATAGGATCGCTGTGAGTCTCAACGGACTCAGCCGCAGTGAATAATATTGTCTGTATTCCAAGTGATTTCTCTTCTGTCTTTAAGTCCTTACTTTAGCCCTTACGGAAAGCATGGACATTGCTTTATGGTCCTCAGTTTTGTTTGTTCTTGTTTTTGTAGCTTCAGGTGCCTTGTCCAAGTTAACTCGTGGATTGAAAGATGAATCACTGGCTTATATTTATCATTGCCAAAATCATTATTTTTGCCCAATTGGCTTTGAAGCAACCCCGGTGAAAGCTAATAAAGCATTTAGGTAAGCATTAAAATATTTTATGCAGATATTTTACCAGGAGGATATGTTATTAATCTCCTGAAACTGAGAGACTTAATGGTTTGCTTTCCTTTATGTTAGAGTCCTTCATTATGTTAGATTGCAGAAATCCTGCATTCTTTAAAGATTTTAGCTTGTTTTCCTTTGTTTCCAGAATTCTGTTTAGCTAGTTGCTTTAATATTATCCACTTAGATACTATTTAGAATCATTACAACATAAAGCCATATGAACGTCACTTCTATGTTTATCACAAAACATTTGACAAAGAACATCACATATTATGTCTCAGTGGGCTCATCCAGTCAAAAATACGTTAGAGAATCAGTGTCAAGAATATTGTCACAACTGAGCAAATGAAAAAGCCTCTTCCTTTCTCATTTCATTCTGAAAAGCAGGATTGATCAAGGTTTCCTTTTTGTCTTGCTACAAAGACGTTAAGAATCACTTTTTATTTTGAACTACAGGAAACATGGCTCTTTATTTCTTGATTCAAAGTTTGTATTTTATTAACTATGTTTTTACATACAGGTACACTTGAACGTTTTTCAAAGAGACAGTCTCTTACAAATAGAGAGGGGGTAACTAAGTTTAATACTTTTTTCCCTCCTTAGCACATTTCCTTCATGATGTGATGTGGTAATACCATGAGAGTTAAAAGAGCAATTGTCCTGGTAGAGAATGGTGGAAACAGAAGCAGTGAATAGTTTGAATGTAAATACTGGCAGCCAGGATTGTCCTCACCTAGCTGAGGCTCTGATTCGTTCATGTCTGGATCCCTGTTAGTGGTGCTATCTTAGTAACTGACCCCTTATGTGGGAGGCTAGTGGTCAGGTTGGTCATCTGGGAATAGGAATAGGTCATCTGAGGCTGGAGGTCCACTGAGCTGGGTGGGTGAGAACCCTGACTTAGGCTGACCATTGTGTTTTTGTGATTGAATAGTAAAAGGGAAACCGCTTAGTCTCTCCACATACTGAATGTATTACTCATCTCTTTTTTTGTGAGGTTTATTATTATTCATAGTTTTTACCTGAAACTTGTGTTACTTAGCACATCTTTCAAGTGCAAAATGAGATTTTGCTTCTAAATATTTGGTACTTTTTAGAGAAGAATTTCTCATCTTTGATGCATCTAAAGATCACCAGTGATGCTCTTAAAAATATGCAAATCCTTGGGCTTGGCCCAAGACCTACTTGGCACATTTCTAGGATAGGGTCTGGGTATTTTATTAAAGCTCCACAGGGAAGTCACTGTTTTAGGATTTCATTTTTAGGTTGCATTTTAAAACAACACACGGAGTGCACATTGAAAAGAAGAGAGTAAGAATAGGCAAGCTTTTTGTGTTTTTTTTCCCCAATCCAAGGAGCTGAGATACAGACTGCTTTGACTTTTTAGCCCTAGGTTTTGTAATAGGGGACTAATACCTACATTTAATTTGTGCTTTCACCTAATGGCTTTCAAATTTTGCCCAAACTGAAACTCTAATATCTATTATAGCTTTAATGAATGCTGTCTTTGAATAAAAGTTAGTGTATCTTTGTTAAAATATAGTTGAAACAATATTCTCAAGGGAGCAAATGACCTTTATTAAATATACTATGAATACATTTTCTGTTCAGCAGGGGTCCTCTCTCCTCACAAGAAGTAGAATATTGGATCTTAATTGGAGAATCAAGTCGAAAACATCCTGCCATTCACTGTAAAAAGTATGTAAACTTTTTTTTTTTTTTTTAAATTGAGGTAAGATTTATATATACTTAAAATCACACATCTTAATTTTGTAGTTAGGTGAGTTTTGATAACTATTTATACCTGTGCCCTGGTGGTGCTGTGGGTTGATGTTGGGCTTCTAATGACAAGGTCGATGGTTTAATCCCATCCGATGCTCCTTGGGAGAAAGATGAGGCTATCTGCTCCATGAAGATTTACAGTCTGGAAACCCTATGTTGTTGTTAACTGCTACTGGGTTGGTGCTGACTCATAGCTACAGTGTATAGGGTTTCCAAAGAGTGGCTGGTAGGTTTGAACCACCGGCCTTATGGTCAGCAGTACAGTGCTTATCCTATAATGCCACATCAGGACTCCAGGAAACCCCATACAAGGGTCACTTTGACTTGGAATCAACTTGATGGCGGTGGGTAAACACCACCCCAACCAAGATATGGAACACTGCCATTAATATATAAAGGTATCGCATTATCCTTTCCTGTCTTAGATATGCTGCGCTTGCTCTTGAATTTCATATAAGTAGAATCATATACTATGTTTTTTTGTATCTTGCTGCTTTAATTTAAACGACACTTGAGATTCATCCATTTTGTTATGTGTATCAATAGTTTGTTATTATTATTGTTATTATTTGCTGAGTAGTAACCTACCGAAAAAGAGGAAGAACCTTAACAATAAGGCTCAAACATAGCAATGATTTTGGGGCTAGCACAGGCCAGGGCAGTGTTTGGATCTGTTGCACATAATGTCCCTGTAAATTACACATAATGTCACTGTAAATTACATATGTCACTGTAAGTTGCACATAATGTCCCTGTAAATTGGAACCCACTCACTGAAAGGAGCTCTGGTAGCGTAGTGGTTACGAATTGGGTTGGGAATTGCAAGGTCAGAAGTTCGAAACTACCAGCTGTTCCGCAGGAGAAAGATGAGGCTTTCTGCTCCCATAAAGATTTACAGCCTCGGAAACCCTCTTCAGGGTCGCTATGGGTCAGAACCGACTCCACAGCACATAACAACAACAACATTGTCATCTAGCATCAGTGATATCCTGTTATATGAATTTACCACAGTTTGTTTATTTAATCATTCTCCTGTTGATGAACTCTTAGATTGTTTTAAATTTGGGGTTACTCTGACTAAAACCATGTGTACATATTTTACTAAAATTCAATAACTTTCTTGAGATATAAGTCACACACTATAAAGTTCCTAATTTTAAAAATCCTATATCCATTAACAGAGTCCTGGTGTGGTGCTATGGGCTAATGCGTGAGACTGCAAAGTCATTTGAACTTCAAGGTCGGTGGTTCAAGCTCATGAGATGCTTCTTGGAAACCCTATACAGGGTCATTATGGGTCGGAATCGACTCAGTGGCATTAAACAATAACAACAACATACCTATTAACAGTCACTCTCCATATCACCAGTCACTGGGAACCACTGACCTTCTTGTCTTACAGAGTTGCCTATTCTGGACATTTCACATAAAAGTGTATATTTCCAGGACAATATCATTTAGTTCCTTTGAAACTGACTTCTTTCACTTAGATACTTACAAGATTCATTCATTTGTAGCATGTGTCAGAATTTCCTTTGACAATATGTCTGAAGTATGAGAGTCGAAGTTTGGCCATGTTGGCCTCTAAGGAGCACTCTGGCTTTACTTCTTCCAACATGTATCTGTTGATTCTTTTGGAGCCCATGGCAGTTTCAATATTTTCCTCCATGACCATAACTCAAAAGCATCATTTCTTGGGTCAGGCGCACCTTAGTCTTCAAGTTGACAACTTTGGTCTTCAACACTTTAAAAAAAGGTCTTGTGCAGCAGATTTGCCCAATGCACTAGGTTATTTGATTTCTTGACTGCTGCTTCCATGACGTTGTTAGGTGCCATTAAGTCAGTTCTAACTTGTGGTAGCCCTGTTGTACAACAGAATGAAACACTTCCTGATCCTGTGCCTCACACTTGTTGTTACCCTTGAGCCCACTGCTGTGGCCACTATTCCAGTCCCTCTTGTTGGAATTCTTCTTTTTCACTGGCCTTCCACTTTACTGAGCACGCTGCCCTTCTCCAGGGACTGGTCCTTTCTGATAATATGTCCGAAGTATGAGAGAGGAAATCTCACCATCCTTGTCTCAAAGGAACATTCTGACTGTACTTCTTCCAAAACAGAACTATTTGTTTTTCTGGCAGCCCGTGGTACTTTCATTATTTTCTAACACCATAACTCAAATGTATCAATTTTTCTACAGTCTTCCATATTTGCTGTCCAACTTTCACATGCATATGAGGCAATTGAAAATACCATGACTTGGATCAGGCACTCTTTAGTTCTCAAACTGGTACCTTTGCTGTTGAATACTTTAAATAGCTCTTGTGTAGCAGATTTGCCTAATACAATATGCAGTTTGATTTCATGACTGCTGCTTCCCTGAGTGTTGATTGTGGACCCAAGTAAAATGAAGTCTTTGACAACTTCAGTCTTTTCTCCTTGTATCATGATGTTACTTATTCATCCAGTTGTGAGGATTTTTGTTTTCTTTACACTGAGGTGCAATCCATATTGAAGGCTTTAGTCTTTGATCTTCATCTGTAAGTTTTTAAAGTCCTGTTCACTTTGATAAAGCAAGGTTGTATCATTTGCAAATCATAAGTTGTTAAATGATTCTTCCTCCAATCTTGATGCCATGTTCTTTGTATAGCCCAGCTTCTTGGATTATTTGCTCAGCATACACATTGAATGAGTGAAGGACCTTGTTTCTGATCAACAAAATGGCGCCAAATAAAGTCCTGCTTAAACTTGGGTCTCCTGAAAGCTTAAGTCTTTGTTACACTAAGAGCCCCGCAACTCCCCCCCCATCCCCCCCCCCCCCCCCAGTTTCCAGTTTCCAGAACATCTCTATAATTCTACCCATTAAAAGCTTGCCAAAACCCTCTGCCGGATCCTCCCATTACTGCACCTGGGACCTCACTGCCTTAAATATGCCGGTCTGTAAGGAACCGGGGGTGGGGTGGTTGTGGGCACTCTTTGTCTTCCTTGACTTTGAGTTCACCCTCCCAGGTTTATTTTCAATAAATTTGCCTGTTGTTGAAGCCATGTTCCTCTCCTTGTCTCTTTCTTATTTCTTACAATAAGTATGGTGATAATGTATAGCCCTATCCACACACCTTTCATGATTCATTCCTTATCCCCTTGTTCTATTTGAACGACTGCCTCTTGGTCTATGTTCAGGTTCCCCATGAGCACATTGTTCAAGTGTTCTGGAATACCCATTGTTCACAAAGTTTTATAGTTTTAGTTTTTGGACTTAGGATCTATTTCAATTCATTTTTACTAATGATAATGAGGTATAGAAGTCAACGTTCACTTTTTTCCTCCAATTTTTATTCAGTTATTCCAGCATCATTTATTTAAAAGATTTTTTTTTCTCCATTTAATGTTTTCGGTGTCTTTGCAGAGTATTAATTGACACTTTATCTGTACGGTCGATTTCTGAACTCTCTTCTGTTTCACTGATGTTTTTGTCTCTGTGTTCACCAATACCACATTAGTATCAATTGCTATAGTATATTGTTGTTGTGAAGTGGTGTCGAGTTGGTTCCGACCCATAGCGACCCTGTATAGGGGTTTCTGAAATTAGGTAATATGTTCCCTCGGGATTTTGTTGCTGCTTCTTCAAGATGGCTATTCTAGGACATTTGCTTTTCTTAGATTTTAGAGTCAACCTGGCAATTTCTGCTAAAAAGCCTATTGAGATTTTTATTAGAATCTAGTTCATAGCATTCATAGGTTAATAACTTCTTAAAGGTATTCACTCTTCCAGTCTTTGATTTTGGTATTCATTTTTATTTATCTCTACCTTTAATTTCTGTTAGCGATGTTTTATATTTTTCAGTATAGAGTCGTATATACTTTTTGTAAAAAGTTTTTCAGTGTTTCATGTTTTTTGATGTTATCATAAATTTATTTGAACAAAGGATATTTTCTGGTTATTGTTGTAAGTGTCATTGAGTTGGTTCCAATTCATAGCCACCCTGTATAGCTGTTTCCGAGTACTCATTGGTGGGTTTGAGCTGCCGACCATGTGACTCAAACTGACCTTTTTGTCCAGTGCATTATACTCGAAGGCAATTAACAACAACAATTATACAATTAAATAATCTTGCATCTTTAACAAATTCACACATTTGTCTAGTAATTACTTTGTAATTCCATTGGATTTTCCACACAGTCATGATGTCTGTGAATAAAGACTTTTAAATCTTTAAAAAATTTACTTGACTGATTAAAATGCAAATATGAAATACTTTTTGTTAGCCTGCAAAATGCCCTCTAACAGGTGATAAAACTCATTTCATCGGAAAAACTATCATTTAAAAGCTGAAAATCATGGCAATAGTTGAAAAAAGAGACTTGTCATAAAAACAAAATTGATTAAAATTTATTAAATGAAACAAACCTGAGATAAGAAAATTATTGCCAGTTGTGTGGTACTGTAGGATAAGCTCTAGACTGCAAAGTTGGTTTGAACTGCAAGTTCTGCAATTCAAACTCACAAGCCACTTCTTGGGAACCCTACACAGGGTCACTATGAGTCGGAACCAACTCAATGTCACTTAATAGCAATAGCAGCAACCATGATAGCATTGTAGCAATTCGCTCACTTGAAAAGTTCCATTACGGTGATATTTTGAATTTAAAGCTGTGCTTAATTATAGGTGGGCAGATATTGTTACTGATCTGAATACTCAAAATCCAGAATATCTTGACATCCGGCACTTAGAGAGGGGGCTGCAGTATCGAAAAACAAAGAAGGTAAGATCATCATCGTACCTGAACTTATTTCCAGTTGACCAACAATGCAGTATTTTACGTAGTGTTCTTTTGGCTGTAAATCACACATTTCAGACCAGTTTAAACAGAAAAGGGGAAATTAGTAAGGGCAGGGGTGTATTTATATAACCCAATGGCAGGAGGTTAGCCTGGATTCAGGTGTGTTTATCAGACGCTGGAATGATGGCCTAATTAGCTGGTCTCGCTCCCTCTTTGGCAGGTTACCTGTTATTCCTGCCTCTCTTTTGTCTGTTGTTTACTTTGTGAAACTCATTCTCTTACAGTTGATGTCTTCTTCTCAGATGAAGAGTCCAGATTGAAACTGACCTGCTTCAAGGCCAGCTCTATGGTCCTAAGACAGAATGGATAAGATTAGTCTAGCTTGGGTTGGGGGTTCCCACCTGATCCACATGAACTGTGACCATGAGACTGGGTCACAAGGAACAAATAAGGTTGCTGGGAGCAGTTTTCAGAGGAAGGTAGATACTGTAGACTGAGTAGACATTCCATTGATGTAAGCCTTGCAATAAATGGTAAATATATGGGGGAGTGATAGGGAGAAATAGTCTTGGTGTGTAAATTAGGTATATGAGGAGCTGTGTGAGTAGTTGAGGCACTCCTTGCAGAGGTGCTTTGGCTCCTTTAGGCCTTGCTAGAGTCCTGGGGTGGTGCTGCAGATTAATGCGCTAGACTGCAAAGTTAGTTTGAACCTCAAGGTCGGCAGTTCAAGATCACCAGCTGCTCCTCAAGAACCCTGTTCAGGGTTGCTATGGGTTGGAACCAACTCGATGACTGTAATAACAACAATATGTTATAAAGGCAGCTCAACAGGAAAGGTGCTGGATGATGTGTTGGAGGTAAACTACTATTTGGAGGCAGGTGAAGGGAGGACAGTTTATAGGGACAGAAATGTTAGTACAATTCACTTTCTTCACCCAACTTTTTTTCCCCTAGGTTGGTGGAAATTTGCATTGCATCATTGCATTTCAGAGACTTAATTGGCAAAGATTTGGCCTTTGGAACTTTCCATTTGGAAGCATTAGACAAGAATCACAACCTCTCCCAGTTGCCCAGGGAATTGCCAAATCTGAGAGTGAAGACAATATCTCCAAGAAACAGCATGGGCGTCTGGGCCGGTCGTTCAGCGCTAGTTTTCATCAGGAGTCAGCGTGGAGAAAGATGTCTAGTATCCATGAGAGAAGGAACAGCGGTTACCAGGGTTACAGTGATTATGATGGGGCTGACTGACGCCGCTACAACTGAACAGCTGTGTTAAGACAGCAGGGGACTTCTTAAGTCTACCGGGACGTTAACTATGAATAGGTTTCGTGGTACAAATATAATCTTGTAGTTCTCTAGTAAATAAGCTTGTATCTGATTACGATGGATGATCTCAGACATATGAGCAGATAAGCACAGATTATTGTCCTTTTAAAGTTAGAGTCATATAAACAGCCAAGATAAAAAGTTTCACAAAATCCAATTAAATTATGACTGCTATCTAAAAAACATCACACACAGATTCACGGACTAGTATGGAGACATGAAATACTTAAGCATGAAATGATTTCATTTCTTACACAGTTTTACTTGTAAGATCAAGATGTTAAGGCACCATATGCTCTTCTAGAAAAGTTGGGGTTTTCAGTTTCTAGTTTTTCCTCTTAAAACAAAAGGGTATTGAAAATTATTATTTAGTGAGTCTAGTCATTCTTTTATTTGCAGTAGTATCTTGCCTGCCTCATTCGATTTGCTGGTTAACTTTCTCAGGATTCTCCAGTAAGAGGCAAAAGAGAAAAAACTCAAGAAAGTGACCTTTTCTATTGGCGAGAAAGGGTAACAGTACATAAATCACGGTAGTCTTGACGTTTTTGACTAGGTATGTTGCCATCAAAAATTGACAAGAACTTTAGGTCTTGAAAGACTTCAGTAAACTCAGAATAAACTATTTTTTTTTTTTTTTAGGGTTAGAGTAAATTAACAAGGAGAATGTGATGTTTTTATAAGTAAGATAATATATGACGTGAGAACTCATATTTGGCCGGTAGATATGGAGCTGTACACTCGGAATGTCCATGGTCCTCAGTCGACAATAGCTGTTTACCATATTCCACTTCCAAACTTTGAACTCTTTCCTTTTTTAACCCTATGGACAATTAGCTGGATCAAATGAGTGTTAAATTTTCGGAAACTGTGGATTTCATATATTTGAGCTCACTCTTGTTGCTGTACAGGTTTCTTTTGCTGCTAATCTGTGACTCACATGACTAAGATGTCTCGTTTTCATTTCAGGGGCTTGTTCCAGGACTCAAATCAATAACTTGGTTGTTACAAGGTGCTGAATATCTTGATAACCATATGGCAATACACCTCAAAGACAAGGGTCATAATTTATTTTAAAATATTTTTAGTTTTTTCTCTTTTGAATTTTATATCCATTTATTCTCTCATCTGTGTTGAGCCTACACAAGGGGTTATATATTATGAAATGGTCAATTTTGTGAATAGAGTATTTTGCTTGAAATGCAAAAGAATTGAAAGAGATTTGTAGGTTGTTGGTTTTGTTACTTCATACTGGGACTTTTAAAAAGTTTTCATCAAATAAAGTTTTGTTTTCTACTTTTCTTCATGTGAATTTTTCTGAACCTTTGTTTTGAGCACAGGGTACTCTTATGAGATTGTTTGAAGTGTATAATGATTAGTCAGTTCGGTCTTTTATGAGTATAATCAATGAAACAACAGTCAATGAAACTGACTGTAATTTCAGATGTCTATTTAACTTTATGTTTGGAAATAGAAAATTTAATTCTTGCGTTAGCTTGACTCAAATGGAGTTATTATTTTTGTAGATCAAGCATGGACAGACAGCAGCAGTTTCATGTAGTTTACCCAAATATTTCAATGACGAGCCAAGAAGAAAGGAAACAAGTGTAATGTAAACAATCAAAAATAATAGGGTGACACCTAGGAAAGGAGTGTAAAATTACTTAGTGATCGTAGTCACTTTTTATCAAGACTTCTTGATATATATGGTCACTTAATGCCTTGGACAATAAACTTGGAAGTTATTAAAGGATATTATAATTGACAGAAAAAGTTATTGCATACTTCTCGTTCAAAAATGATTTGATTTTTTTTTTTGCCATTTATTTTTAGGGATCTCCTCTTAGAATGGAAAGGAGCTCTGGTAGCGTAGTGGTTACGAATCGGGCTGCAAGCTGCAAGGTCAGCAGTTCAAAACTACCAGCTGTTCCACGGGAGAAAGATGAGGCTTTCTGCTCCCGTAAAGATTTTCAGCCTCGGAAACCCTGTACAGGGTCGCTATGAGTCGGAACTGACTCCACAGCACTTAACAACAACAACAAAATTAGAATGGAAGTCCAAATTTTGTCTTTGGCTTTATTAATATGACCTTGGGCAAGTTAAGATTCATTTTTCTATATTTCCTTCCTTGTAAGATGGTGATGATAAAGTTCTACTTATTAAATTGTCCTAAATAAGTTAATACATATAAAGTGTTGAGACCTGTGCCTCAGGTATAGGAAGTGTTATTTAAATGCTTGCTATTATCTCAAGTGGTAAGTATTTTGCTGCTCAGATTCTTTAGTTGTTGCTGTTAAGAACCATGAGTCCGTTCCCATAGTGACCCTGTATGGGGTTTCCCAGGAGTGGCTGTTAGGTTTGAACTGCTGACCTAGTGGTTAACAGTCCAGTGCTGTCCTACTGCGCCACACCAGGGCTCCAGATTCTTTATAGGGGGCTATTTAAATAGCATGTTATAGAGGCAATTGCTTGTAAATCAAAGCCCTTAGTTCTAGTTCTTTCTGGGAGATGTTTAGTATCCAGGAAATGTTGATTTTAACTGTCTTTAATAACAACACTAGAGAGTCCTGGTGTGCCTATGGTGCATGGGTTACTGTGCCGTACAGAAAAGTCACTTTGATCCACAAGGTCTGTGGTTCAAGCTTACCAGCTGCTCCTAGTAAACCCTATACAGGATCACTGAAAGTCAGATTCCACTAGAAGGTACTTAACACCACCAAGAAATCTTGGTGTACACATGAACACAAGGTCGGCAGTTCAAACTCACCAGCCACTCCTTGGAAACCCTATACAGGGTCGCTCCGGGTCAGAACTGAGTCAAAAGTGCTTAATAACAACATAGTATCCAAGGAGTCCTGGTGTGGAACTACAGGATAAGCACTGGACTCTTAACCACAAACTTGGGTTAAAACCCACCAGCAGCTCTTTGGAAACCCTATACAGTCACTGAGTTGGAACTGACTTGATGGCACTTAACAATTGTACTCAAATGCTTACTTTGCCTATTTGTTTTCACTTAGATTACAGGCAAAAGAAAAACGATTTTAGATGAAGTCCCGTAACTGTTTGCTGTACAATAATTTTGCTCCTCATTAGGCCAAGCTGATGCAGTAGCTATCCTTCCCATCTTGCCCTTTCTTAGACAGTGGGGCAGCTCAGGCAGCTATTCCAGGAACCAACATGCTGTATCTCAGTTTTACCCATAGACTGTTTAAAGTTTTTATTGTGACTTGAGTGATAGTTTACATGGGAGAACATCAGTTTTACACTCATTGTTTCATTGCAATGATTACAATCTTCTCTGTGCACAGTCATTCAACAGTATTTGCTTCTATTCCCTCTGTTTTTGTTGTTGTTTTGCTATATACAAAAACACTCAGGAATATATAGTCATTTAGACAACCAAAGAGCACATTCTGCAAGCCTGCCTACTGGCCACAAGCACATTGCCTTTCTTTTTCCATGAGTCTAGAGTCCTCAGCTGCTCCATCTCTCCATGTCCTCATCTCTTCTTCCATCTCTGGAGTCGCTGCTTCTCTGGATAGAGTCCCACATTCCACTCATGCTCTTCTCCCTTGATGGTCCTAGAGTCCTCTGTTCCTGGACTAAGATTTAACAACTCCCCCCTTTTTGTTACAAAACTTCTACATTTACAGTTAAGACAGTTGTAATTAGTCATGATAACAATTACTATTGAATCATAAGAACCTTAGTCCCATCTCCTTTCACCAGACCCCTCTAGACAAGATGAAAACTATTCAATGAGGATTCTACCTCCCGCCTCCCTCCCCCACCCTGCACACTCTGAAACGAGACTCCCTTTTGAAAGCTTGTAATCCAGCCATTTCATGCTTGCCTTTAT